AGTGATAGAATGAAAAAGAAAATAAATAGGTGAGAAGAGAAAACGAAACGGGGACAACAATTTTTTTTTTTTGGTTAGGACTGAAAAAACAAATTTAAAGCCATATTTCAAGTTAATGGTCCTGAGGCACAGTTGTGTCTGCACATAAATTACCAAGCTGCTAAAGTCTCTGATTTACACAGAGAGAGAGTAAGTGTTACACAGAGAGAGAGTAAGTTGTTCCTTGGGAAAGAAAATGTAAGTTGAGTCTTATTGAAGGTGCATCATTAATGCACATATGGATGCAAATATGCTACCAAGATTTTGCCATGTCACAGTATCATTTTGTTTCTTCTGCACAATATTTTTCGTCACTAATTTGTCCTGACTACTTACAGTTAAGGAGAAGGGAGGAGAAAAAAGAGAATAGAGGTACGTTTGAATTATTTAAAACATGACACATTTAAGGAACACCAGAATTTTCAAAAGTTCAGTTTATTTGTTTAATATTGACTTTTAGTTGGATAACATTATTCCCTTCTGTACTAGTCAGGAATGTTAAAGTTACCACAAAAACATGCAAGAGCTGCCAAAAAATGTCTTACCAAGACAAATTAGGTGCAAATCTAAAATAAGATCACGGCTCATAAGAAACCAGACTGGATTTGAGGCGAACAGGACCACAGAGAATCAATCATACCATCTATAACTGGGCCGATCAAGTTCACATTTTTCACACATATAATATTCAAATGTCCAAGGCAGTTGATCTAAAAATAGAGACACATATACTGTGTGTCTACGTGTGTGTGTTTGTGTGTGTGTAGGTGTGTGTGTGTGTGTGTGTTATTGTGTGAAGGTTATTTGCAGGTGCAGATGCTGCACAGTGTATAAACTGGCCCTTGTAGTCTGTGTTATTGCACTACCCCAGTAACATTTCCTGGGCCAACCCGTCATGCCTGAAATCACTGTCACCACACCCTGCATAATACATCATTGTGTGAGTGTGTGTGTGTGTGTGTGTGTGTGTATTTGTGTGGGTGTATGTCAACTGGCCTTGGTCCGTCCACTACTTTTAATGATTCTGTCATCCAAATGGCAGCACACTTCATTAAAGAGCTGCTTTTTGCTGAAATTCAATGATGTGTGTGTAGCTGTTAGGGTTAGGGTTAGAGGCAGACAGACAGGTATGCTTGCAAGGAGCTATATTGCATGCATGCCTCTAGTGTGTTTGAGTAAACAACATTTTTACAAACACTCACTTTATGACAGGTCACACATACAAAGGCATTAAGTGACAGAATCACTTCCACTTGTAAAATTCATTAAGACATGTAGCGCTTGAATGTATGTATTTGTGTTTGTATTGCGTAGTGTGTTCGGTTTCTATTGGTGTTACTAACAGATCCCAGTCAGTTTCACCTACACCTAAGCCACTTCTGCATCTTGACCACCACTCCCTTTTAGACATAAAAAAACCAATCTCTCATTGATTCAGTATGGCTGGTTGCTTGCTGGTGAAGCTGATGCCGTGTGGGGGGAACAGCCCTGGAAACATCGGTCAATGATCTCACTCGAGTAAGAATAGACCAGAGAGATTAAACACAAATGCACAACTGAGAACACAGAACAGCCGCGAGGACACAGATGATTTGAGAGGAGATGAAGAAGAGATGGCATCCTGATCTTTCTAACAGATCTATTTACTGTAATGCATAAATGTAGGAAAATCTGTAAAGAGACTCAAGGCAGCATGAAGGTAATATATGGTGGCATATTAAAAGAGAATATGCTGTTGGAAAGAACAGTTTAGCTCTTGGCTTCTAAAATGATATTCATACAGTACACTATACAGTAACATCAGATGAGGAGATGGAGATAAAAATGTTGTACTGAGACTTACAGAATAATAGAAGTAAATAAAATGCTATTCGACGTGACACAAAATGGGCTCAAATATTAACATACTGCTGTATCCAAAACTCAACAATTTTACATCTTACAATATTTACTGCAGGGCTGGATTGCATTATTTTGTTTTAAGATGTCCTGTTGTTTTGTTCATTCCCTACCAATTCCAAAAGAGAAAATTGTTAAACAGAGTGGAAACAGAACAGAGAAATTGTAACGACCCATGAAAGCATACTGTCAGAGCTCTGTAATTTCTTATGTATCTCCCAAAAATAATTAATTAGGAAAACATCACAAACCAGACCAAGACAACTAAGAAAACATACAAAATGTTTTATATGCATGCAAACCCTCATGACCAATATTCAAAGAAAGACTAAAAGAAATATTACCATAAATGACTTGTACTTAACAAAATATGGAAAGATGTTTAAGCACCGCTGAAGCCACAGCATGCATTCGGATGTGGTAAAGTATCAAAGCAAAACCAGAATAGCGGTCACCACAAAGAACTGCTGGGGAAACTCACAGTCTCAATCGCTATTTAATGTAAAACTTCCATGAACATGAAACCGGGTGAAAGAAACACAGACACGTAGAGGCTGACAGTTAACATGCAACACGCAGAGTTACATATGCTTACACAGAGAACAGAGACATGTTGTATACCAGCTGCTTTTAAACTATGAATGCAATTAAACTGTTGGTAGAAGAAGAAGAACACACACATGTAGATGTACAGCCCAGGAGGTAGACATATAAAATACCATGTTTGTCACTGTCACACTGTAAGTGTCTTTATTGCATCCACTTAACTCTCTGACCCTCACACATTTGAGCTATGGAGAAACATGCCTGTGGTAAAGTGCTTGATACGGTCCTGTTGTTCCTCTCCTATAATGGATATCATTGCCCAACACATGTCCCACATTCTGGTGAGAAGTTTTCAATTTTCGGCCATTTTCAAAATGAAAACAGGAGCAAATTTGGTTACTGCTGTTTTAATACGTACAATATTCAGCCAATGCAACACTTTCAAAACACTCTCTAAGGCTCAGTTGACACTGACAGCTACTTAAGTTTCAGGAAGATAAACCTGGGCTAACTCTCATGAGTTCTCCCAAGGTCACACCATGTCCCAGGAACATAAAAGGCATTTTAACAAAAGAGTTGCTTGTTTAGAAACCTAAAATTACCTTTGACTGTGCAAATCCCCAGAGTTCGAGTTTAAAAGCTTTTGAATTAAATTAAACTCTGGTTCTCATTGACTTTCTAGCAGGCGTCTTTTTTTCTCCCTCTCACCATATGACCCCAACACATTTCCATGTTGGTGTTTCCAGTTATAGCAGCAGTGTAATCGAGGCTACAGCACACAGCGATGACGGGGACGTATTTGAAATACCTACTTGATACCCTGGTGTTCTCCTTCCTACTTTATGTGCCTCACACATGTCTGAGCCATTGGTTGTGCAAGCAATTTCCTTGCTGTCTTCTTTGATGATGATGGTGTTTTGCTGATCGGTTACTTCCTGGATTGTTGACAGTATAGAATGGCCAGGGAAGCCCACAGCGCTGGTATACTGCTCACATAGTTTTACTATGAAGACTTTCATAGTAAAACTATGAAAACTGTTTTTTAGACAAAAAAACAGGTGAGGCGTATTGTCTCAAGTGATACTGGGACAATCTTTAGTAGTTGCTCAGCAGGATTCATTTGCTTTTGGTTGAACCTTCGAGGAAGACCTTCTGTTAAGACAGCATACAAATCCCATCTTCTTTACTATGATTGTCAAACCTTAACCATTATTAACCATCCATATCTTAGAGAATTGTGTCAAGCTTGTTGGGGGCACTACACAGCCTGGCAGGCTCACTTCTAAAAATAGGATTCAGACTGTTTGCCTGAACTGTGGAAGGTCAGGATAAGTTTATGCCTTTTTGCTTTTGGTATTAATATCATTTAATATCCTTACGTGTCATATCAAAGGCTTACAATAGCAATATCAGGACACTTTTGGCAAACCAAAACTGAAGAGGTGCAAGAGGTGGAGAGTAAAAGGCCAAGCACATGAGTAGCTATATCTGTAAACTGATGTGTTTCTAGCTACTACAAGGCTGTCGGTTCAGATTTACAGAGGTGAAGGACATGAGCCTCCCTCAGGAAGTTTCTGGAAGGGCTGCTCTGAAAGGAATTCGGGGCTGCTGACATTCGCAAGTCTTCAGTTACTACACAGTTTACTTAACCTTTAATTTAGGTTAACTCATGTGTTTTCCCCTTCATATGATGCTCAATCGTGCACTGAACAAATTCTCTTTTGAAAACTTATTATGATTTATATTAAGTGTTCAAAAATATTGCTCCATAGCTGCATTAAATGAAATGTTTCAGTTCACGTTGCATCAATGAAGCCTTGTCCTATCGCATTAATATCATTTTAAACCAGGCAGATCAGCTAAGAACACTGTAAACAGATGAAAAAATATCTCAGTAAAATGAATATTAGGATGAGGTGCTTAGCCGTTGTCACTTAAGAGTAAATCTAACAGTGTGGATAGTTAGAGGCATGTTCCGCAGATGACCCTTAGGGTAGCTCATTGCTCAATGTGGCATCAAGAGTATCAAACACCAAGAGTATCAGATTGATACAAGCCTTTATAGACTAAAAACAGCTGCCTTCAAAAGCACACGTACATTGAAAGAGACCACATTTTTCAGCCCTAGTAGTTTAAGTTTGCATAGTCTGACACAGTGAGACTCTTGGATTCTGTCACAGCTGATGACAGAAACCTCTCCAAGTCGATTTCTATGCTGAGAGCTCAGGTTTAGTCGTAATTCAGCATAACCACAGTTTCTCTCAACCTCAGTAAGATCTACAAATTTTTACAGCATGGCCTTCACTGTTTTGAATGGCTCTATAAATATCAGTGAGTATGCCTTTGAAAAGCTCCTGCTATTTTACCCACACGGTGTTGCCTAACAGTCACTTAAATCTATTATCAGAATACATTTCAGACATTTTATTTAAGGAAATATTGAAATGAAAAATAACTGGGGTTGTGTGATCATAACTCAAGCATTTTCTTTTTCCCTTCTTCTTCTCTCTTTCCAGGGCCTCCAGTGTTCCCAAACCTCCCCCCGTGGCACCAAAGGTACTGTAACATAGCATGTGACTGAAATAACAGAAAATTACACAAGTCTTTATTTAAAGATTAAAGAAAATTATGAAATATTGCTGTTTGATTAAGGCAAGGCACGTCAGGTGAAAAACTTGATTTTGGCTGTATGGATACATTTTAAGATATATTTTTAATCTATGCTTTTTGTAGTTTAATAAAACGTCTTACCAGTTGTCAAAAACAGATTTGAAGTGACTGTATGAGAAATGTATTATTCTGAGGTCTTATGTCATTTTATTTTTATTGGGCAGTTTTTTTTTGTTTTTTTTTGCCATTTGGATATACAAGTTTGTTCATTTAAAATAATGTAATCCCTTTTTAATCAACCAACTGAGTTACTATATAACAGGAAGAGAAGAAACTTGTGAGTTCATTGAATTAATGGCAACATAAAAAGAAAAACTGCAATTCACCTGGCGTACCATGTACTTTAAATACTTTTCTTTAGTTATTACAACCTTCTGAAACGATGCCACACACACAGTTTTTTTGCATGAAAACCCCCTTTGTTTTCATTTATGTTGTGTTTTTTCTAATGTTGCTACATCGCTTATATTGTCAATGACAATTAAGTATACTGATGCTTCCTTTTTCCAAGAAAATTATCAGAACACATTACAGGTACTAAACTAATTGACTTTTTCCAGCTATTTTTAAATTGAATCAAACTTTGTTATATGGGCAAATCATAGGTTTTATACAGTGGAAAGCCTATGGGATAAACACAAACCCATAAATAACCTGAGAAGCATCAGTATAGTGCGTGCTGTGTTATGATTTGTTTTTGCGTTTGTATTTGCATGCTCTTCTCTCATGCCGGTAGGACGACAGATCAGACATCATAAAACCAGTGGCCCTCACCCATCCACCTCCACCACCCCATCCCCACCTTCACCCCTTCAGCCCCTCAACCGCCCCTTACAACAAGGCCCCCAGACCTTACGGGGGCTGTGGAACAGAGCGTGAATACCTTCCTTCACAGTCCCCATTTGCTCCCTTCATCCCATCTCCATCCTCTGCCTTCACTCCTGCCTCCTTCCACCGCAACAGTCCTCCTCTTCCTCCTCCTCCACCTCCTGTCTCTTACCCATCCTCTTCCTCCTCGTCCTCCCCCCCTGGCCTCGTTCCGCCCCAGCCATCAGTGTATAACACACCGATCAACCTCTACTCCAATGAGAACGCATGTGAGGTGGCCATGGGGCAGAGGCGGGGCCTATTGGAGAGTCAGGGTGGAGCCTTGCCTTTGCAGTTGAATGGGTGAGTGGCGTTCTCTCCAGCCAATCAAACAAATGCTTCAATTCTCTGCATCTACTTCCGACTTTCTCACTGTTATAGTTACATGTTATAGATAGGACATGAGATCAGTTGCCATTTTTTGGATCTAACAGATTTGTACAATTTTAGAAATACACCAGTATGTGCAGTAGCCATCAGCATTGGTCGGACGGTGCTTTCGAAAAAAAGAAGCAATGACGATTGAAATTTACTACATCACTGTTAACTTCTTCTTAAAGGCCGCACCTAGTTTCTGTTTAAGCTGGAAAAGTATATACTTTGCAAAAAAATATACTTCTGTCATGATTTACAAAGTTGGTGTTTTTCCAAGCCCATTTTAAAGTTTGTTTATTCCATGCAGGCTGCTGATCAGGCTGGCCAGACTTCAACTTGGAATCTTAAAATGTTGGAAGTGATTTTCAAAGTTCTTCCACATCATTAAATCAGACTCACATGTCTGTTGGTGTTTTGTTCAGAGGAGGGAAGCACAGTACTGTACTCTACTGCACACAGTATTGAGATCCATGGTTTAAGTTAGCAAGACAAGCCCAATTATGGTGCCTCTGTTTGTGAGTGTTGTTTATTATAGTGTTGAAAAGTGTCTCAGCTTGTTTTGGTTGCCATTTTTTAAAATGTCACCAAATACTGTCAGTTATTTGTATACCGTGTCATGTTAGAGAACACTGATATCTAAGCAAACTAAAGTGGCGAATGTACGATATGTTTGCTGTAGGAACTTGAGAAGGGGAATTCTGCACTGAAAGACCTTTAATAGCTTCGTTCTTGTGATGGAAAACTGGGGAGTTGATGGACTTTAAAGGCGTTTTTAAAGTCCTGTTAAAATAACATAATAAAACATAAAACAAAAACGTTTTCAAGTTTAAAATTTCAGAATGTAGGATTTTAACATACACCTTACATTACATTTTAGAAAATATTACAGCTAAAATTACTACAAATGTGTGTGGACAAAATCCCTGTCACGGTGGTTGTATGGATCTTTGTCATATCAGCACATAACAACCTATTGCCATGAAACAAATCAACTCACTCTCCCACTTACTTGTGTGTGCCAGTACATTTTTGTTATCTTTTTTCTCTCATTTTATATTTTAAATAGATGTCAGGTGTCTTAAGAGAGCACCACATTTAAAACATATTGTTGGTTACTAGTACTCGAAGGTAATACTGGCACTTTGCCCTCTCTGCTTCTGTCTTTCTAATTCTCTCCATTATCTCCGTTAATTTACCATATTTAATACTTCCCTTCACATCCAAGCTGCCTAATCCCATCTCTCTTCTCACTCAGCGCCTCTCTTTACATAATTCCCTCGGTCATGTTCCTCCCCCCCTTTGTTTCTGTCTCAACCCAACTCTCCTTCCTCCAGAGACATAGTGAGTATAACTATGCTATGATGCTAAGGTTAAGTTTTGTGTATATTTAGCCTGTAACTCGAGCTGTGTGGCATTCTCTTTGCTCTTGCAGCAAATCAGTCAGTCAATAAAGGTTTCAGCCTTGAATCCATGTAGATTTACACAGTCTCTTCACAGACTAACACACCTTCATCATGTTTTTCCTTCACTTGTTCAAAACAAGGCTGTATACATGGATGTTTCTGATTTACTGCACTCAAGATACCAAATGGACTGAATAGATTCCTTTTGTGACTCATAATTTCTCCGTTCATTTTCATGTTTATACTCTCTATGTGCTCTCTTTTCTCCAGGCAACACACTGACAAAAGTGGTTTCTCTTTCTGTGAGACTCAGCAGACACCAGTGATCTGCACAATAGAATCTTACACCAAGCAGCTGCGCACACACGCAAAGACACACAAGCTGCATTTTACTTTACTAGCCTTCCCCAAGTATTACAGATGACATTTAATAGCACAGTGCTTTATTAAAGCAAGATCTGGATGAGGTAGACTTGCTTTCTTCATGTAAACATTTCTATCTCTATGCCTCTTTCACCTTTTTTCATCCTGCTTATATTCCCAGTGACTGTTCAAGAGCTTGTTAATTTGGTCATCCGCAGGAGACGTCAACATACTGGTTTACTTCGCCCTAACTTCTGGCAATTGGTTATTTTCTTCCAGTATCAGTTAATTCATTTCTTTCTTTCTGTTGCTGAGGTGACAGTATGAGACAGCGTGTGTGTCCATCCTTGCATCTTGCTTGCTTGTTTGCATGCTGTATATGAGCCGTGTTGTTTGTTTCAGAGGGGATTTTTGAATGGCAATGTTTTTTCTATAAATTGGCAAGAATTTGGACGTGTATGTCAATGTTCTCTGGCTTTCTGCCTTCAATCCTTCTTTTTTCTGCTTTGCAGACTTCAGCACATCCTCCAGTCACAAAGTTAGTCTCTGAAGCATGTCAGGTTATGAGTGTTTGACTGCTTGCCTTCCTTTTTACTCATCCAACTCTTTCTGTACCTGTGTGTGTCTACTTAATCATCACAACTGCATGCATTTGCTTATTTTACTGCAGAACATGATACCTGATAGTAATGTTTTATAGTTCAATTAGCTTAATTTCATGTTTATATTGTGCAAGAACTGCAGCACCTATCCAATCAAAATTAATTAAAGTTTTTGTATGGGATACAATATGCTGAGGCTGCAGTTTAACTCTACTATAAATCACAAATATTGATATTCACACACACACACAGTCTATATCGTCAGACACTTCCAGTATAACTGTACGTGTGTGACCAAGCTCACATAGAGCTGTCAGCACTCCCACACCCACATAGCTGCTGCTGTGACAAGAATGTGTTGAGAGAGACGCTCATAAATCAGTCTATTCAGTGTGCTAGGTGAGTGTGTTGGTGTGTGTGTGTGTGTGTGTGTGTACTTGTAGGTGATTTATTGACAGCAGTGCCTGAAAAGTCTTCAATGCCCCTCTGTGTGTATGTGTGTGTATTTGAGTTCAGAGTTGATTTATTGACAGCCAATTAGTAACGGGCCTGTCAGCACTCTGTTGCCAAGGAAGATTCCAGACACACATTTACCGTTCGTGCATTCACACAAACGGCACTTGTTAAGTCATAAATGTCATCAAAACAAATGTGCATGCTTTTCATGATCATCTTTATTCTATTATGCTCTCGATACTTTTACTTTCCAACCATCCAAATTATGAATGAATTTTTCTTTTGAAAGAAAACTAGACAAATCATCAGCTCCATCATGTGGTTGAAAATAGAACTGACCTGTATTGGATGTTAGGAGCTTGTTTGCCCTCCTGTTGATGCAATGAAATGTCTCCATTGATATTTGGACTCTTATTTTGCATGCGTTTGGGAGTTGTGTCCATATGTTTTTCCTCCAACTATATTCTACTCTCTGCTTATTAACATATCCTTTAATACATTTCTATAATTTAATTAACTCTTCGTACTTGTATCTCTTCCTCTTCTTCTTCTTCACCCTCCCTTTAGTGGACCTCAAAGTATTTTGAAGTAAGTCTTTTCAAATGATTCTATTATCTCCCTATGTTTTATTTTTTCCCTATTAAGTGTATTTCTGTTTTCTTCTATCCTGTTTTTCTGTCCATTGGTTATCAAGAAAACCCCCACCGCCAAGGTATCATATCGATTCAGACCTAGACTCCAAATGCATTTAACAAATTGTGGTGTGAATTTTCCCCTTTTTCTTATCTAATAAGCACAAATTGTAGGTGATTATTTTACAGTGTGTCACATCGCCATCTCATGTAACCTACAGTCTACATATCAAACAGTTTAATACCATTCCTCTAACTGACTGACTGTGTGTTAAATAACGTTCTACATATTATTTTAAAATCCTTGGTTGAAATTAACCTCCTAAACTGACTAAACATGACTACTGACAGTAGTCAGTGTTTGAGTGTAAAATATTTGACCGAGTCCTGCGAAATTAGTTCTACATTTCGCTTTAATAAGTTATAATACCTCCTAGGTACTGACATCAGCCTTCATCTCCTACTTTGATTAATTATGAGAGGGAGCATGTAAAATTAAAAGTATATTTGCTGATGTCATCCATCATGTCCTTCCAGAGTTCCCAGGAAACACATCGTAGACACAGACATCCATTTTTACCATGTGCCCACTCATGCTGATGCCAGCAGGAAGCGCATAATGGAGGACACAGAGGACTGGCGCCCACGCAGTGGCACCACCCAGTCCAGATCATTCAAGATTCTGGCTCAGATCACTGGCACTGAGAATGGTATGAAGTGCACACAGTGGTGATTTTTGCACAGACTGTTGTTATTGCACCTGAACTAATGAGTTAACACATAAAAGAACAGGGCAGCCTCTACAGGGCAAACAATGATATTTCAATTATTACAACCACATTATTTTCTCTACTGGACTCATTATTGTCTTTATTCTTTCCTTTGTAGCTCAAGAAGAGGAAGCTGACGCAGCCAAGAAGGCAAAGTAAGTGCATGGCAATGAAAATGCTGATTGTGGTTTAAATAGCCCTATACTGGCTATCCTTGTTTGCTGTTGTTTGAATGAGTGAAGTGCATTGTGTGGTGTGACAATACATAGTCCATAAAATATAATCTTTAACCCATTTGTTTGGGTGTATCTAACATATAAAGGCTGCATTTATGAAGCAACAGAAAATCTGACTTCAGATATCTGTGGCACAGTTCTGGCAGTTCTGATGCTGTGTGGACTCTTCCTGTCTAGACAGCAGAGAAAGGATTATATTATGTTTGAGCCATTAAGTCAAAAGCCAGACCTCTATGCACTTTACAGAATGTCCGTTCCCACTAGTGCCAAAAGTTCAGAAAGCAATTTTAAAGTAAATTTCCCTCTCACATTGCTGAAAGTAGCATGCCGTTCTTTTTTTGGCAATTAAAATAAACAAAGACATGTTGTTGGTAGCTGAAATTGTTTTCATGTGTGCTTACTTATCAGTGTAGCTTTATGTGATGGTTTTTGTGCTCCTAATGGTTGTCTGTGCATTTGGTTGTGGATGTGTGACAGCGTTGCAGTGCTGCATGTTGTATAACCTGTGATTGTGTCGTTGACAATCATGGCTGGACAGTGGCGTTGCTCTCAGTGTGATGTGATCCATTGGCTGTCCATTTCTCTTGGTGAGCTTTGTGGCGATACATGTGATCACCGTTTGTCTGTGATCACTTGTGTTATCATGCAGACATTGTCGCTGTCTGTGGGCGTTGTTGTGTGTGGCTTCATGGTTGAATTAATTCATAATTTCAGTCCATACCGGCCTGGGTTCATGATGCATTTTGACCCCGTAAAGATGTCTTTTGAGACAGGAGTTAACTGTTCTCTGGATATACTCTGCATATTGTATCATTTTCTATTCTGATGATGATGATAGAAGAACTGCCCATCTCCACCCTATCAAACCCTGTGTATCATCAGCTTCTTGTTTGTCCAGTTGTTACTGCATCATCAAGCTTCCCTTGTGGCATGGCTCACAGTGCATTTCATCGCCGATTGCAGGGAAGCTGCTCTACATTTCCTAAATCCTCCTTTTCTCTCTTTTTTGGTGTGTTTTTTCCCCTTCTTTTCCTCTCTTCCTGTGAACACAGAGCGAACAAGACCACCACTCGGTTGATAATTGGCCCTAAGTACAACGAGCTGAGAGACTGGCACCACGGAGTGTCCGCTCGCACCCTCAATGTCGAGTAGACTGTGTGTGTGTATGTGTGTGTGTCTTGTTGGTATAACTGTCTGCCTGTGTATGTGTGCAGTATATCAGCTTGACTTCTGTAGGTGGTTGTTTATTAACTTAAATGTTGAAGGCTTGTGGACTAATGAGAATAAAGGTAATAAAGCAAAGAATGCTGGAATGAGAGCCTGCAAAGGAACTGCTGGAGTCTCTCTGTGTCTGTGTGTGTGTGTGTGTGTGTGTGTGTGTGTGTGTGTTTGCTTGTCGTCCACTGTTATGTGCCTGCACTGTGCTGGCCTCATTCAGACCTTTAAACCTTTAATTAAGTGCTGCTTATGTGCTCGGCCACTCCACTGATTCCAGCCCTAAAGGTAAACTTTAGATGCGTAGTGTTTAAAAAAAAACGCCAAAACATTAAATTGGATGCTTAGGATGAAGCATTGAGCCAGAAAACCTACAGGAAAACATTCAATTTGTTTCCAGCGGAGTCCTTGTGTGGAAGACAAGTAATGTAGAGTTTTTATTAAAAGTCTAAAATGCTGAAGGATCTAATAGTAGTCTGAACAAGTTCAAATATGCAGCTGTCTATCTGCATCTCTGACTTTTTTACTCCACTGCAGCACATAAAATGCAAAAACTATGTTCATTCTTAAACACTGAACAACATGATGATACAAAGAAAACAAAATTAGCATTTTCAGTATAAATAGACAAACCTTGCACCCCATTGTGGAAGTCTACAATAAAGCTAATTAGAAAGAAATATTCAAAATGTGTACTACAAACATCCGTCACTCACTTCAGTGTCTTCTGGACCACTGTAATTTGGATGGTGGCAAAAGGAGAAGTTGCATCATTTGGAAGAAGGAAAATAGAAAATCTGCCCTTCCTTTTTGTGAGAGTGCACCCAATGTTCCTTTATATTATATATTACTATTGTATAACTATATATTACAGAAGATACTGCAGCTCTATTTAAAAAGCTTTAATGGCTTGTTTACATCTGTTGTATCTGCTAGCATTGGAACTATTTTATGAACACACTGTCTTGAGATATGGTAGCATCTGAAAAATAGGAAGCGATTTCAACTTGTCAAGCATGTACAGTATGTACAATATATATTATTAAATAGTGTATATGCTATGCTGCTGGAATGTAACTGTCTAGATTGGGGCTGTAAGACATATGTATGGTTTAAGGTATTATGCAAGTAAGGAATGTTCTTTTCAGTGAGCAGGTTGTTTAGCGTTGATGGTGAGCAAAGTAATTGTATAAATGCTATAAATGGCTTATAATGCAAAGGTAATATTTGCAAATGTAAAATATTTCTCTAGTGCCTTTACATTTATTTCATCTGTATGTTTACTGCAGATTATGCTAACTTTGATAGGGTTGCATTTTGAAAATAGCCCCTTATGTAGTGGCTGAAAATTTATTTTCTGTGTTTTGAGTTTGAAAAAACTATTATTCTATATTGTAGCTAATAAAGTGCTGTTTTTTCTTGTTTCCTTTTCTGGTGTCCCTTTCCTACCTTCTTCCCTTTCTTTCCTACTTCCTTAGTTCCTTCACTCTTTCCTCTTCTAGTTGTCTCACTGAATCTGAGACAAAGAGTGGAGAGGTCAGGTATAAATCATGTTCTAAACTTTTTTCACCTCTTCACCTGTCATGTTAAATAGTCCCACGTCACAGTAGTCACTTTCACATAGTTCTTAATGAACTAATTGACCTCTTCTAGTCAAGTGTTCAAAAAATTGAAGTTTGCAAGCTATAACACCAATCTCACACAAGTAACTTTTTCACTACTCTACTATAACAAACTGATATCTTAAAATGTTTATTTAAAATTCACCAAAATCATAACGAACTGAACTACTATATCCTGCTATTTGCCAGTGACAGATCTCCAACACATGAATCTTCTGACCAAGTAGGGGTAACACTCTCTGCCTTCAGTGGACTGAATGATGCAGAATCTGGTTACTTGATCCCACATCAACCACAGCCACAGCTGGCAGGCTCATCAGTCAATCAGCAACGGCCAGAGGAGGATGCTACAATCTCCAACTATGTCCTCATTCCCAAACTTGGCAGCCTCTTAAACACCCAACATCAAGGGAACAATGTATCATCTACAGCCCCCCTTCACTTGGTTGGCTTCCCTATGCCGTATTCAAGTTCTGTTGACATGTTTTGTCAAATGCACCAAAACCATTTGTCTAACATGAACTATCCATTAGCTCCAATGCTGGTACCTGTAACATATTCTGACTCAACCCCAAATCAAATACCATCATCTCTTGCCCAAAGGCCAAATGAGGCAGTGTTTTTGCCAGCCAACATGCCACATTTTCTTGGACCCAGTCCTGTTTGTGCCCAAACTCCAGCCTCCTGTTTACCTGTTTTTAGTGTATTACCTGGTCAAGGACTATACTTGTCACCCAGTAGTGACTCCTCATTATTTCAAAACCAGGCACCAGAGGCTTCCCCTGATTTTGTCCCTGACCATAGACAAGCTGCTTCGCATAGTACAGTTACAGAGCCACCAAGCTTTCAACTGCCTACAGCTGGAAGGTACATTGAGCTTCTGTTTTTTTTGTTTGTTGTTTTTTTAAATAAAAGCTCACAGTATTTACCAAAAACAGGTCTAAAAATTATAATTTCCTTTACTTTTTTTGCCTTGGTCTAGCAATTCCCATTTGACACCACTAGAGGACAGCACAGACTCAGAAAAATTCAAGTCCAGTGACTGTTTGACTGATCATGATGGTGATGACCACAAATTATATAGCCAAGCTTCTGAGTCTCTGAAGGCAACACAAACTCGGTTTGACCTTTCTACTCAACACAGGTGCTGCACAACAATTCTAATGAAGTAAACCTTTCAGTGATATCTCATTAAATTGCTTCAACTACCTGTCCAATCTGTGATGTATGTCCTATCTACATCTTTCTCCCTCCCAGTTTCCCAGTCCAAGTCAGTACACATCTATCTCAAATATCAGCACGTCATCATGTACTTTCTACCAAACCAGTCAGGTACAGTGTACAGTGGGTTTCTTCTCAAATGTTACAGGAAACTTAACCTTACTGTCACTATTAATAAGAACAATGCCAAGCTGTCACAATATTAATATATATCAATATTATTTTAATTTTTTCAGTATTTTGGTTATCTTAGTCCTCCTGTCTTCTACTATATGGTGTACTAGTGTTGTGTATTATGTTTATGTGTGTATTTTTAAACAGGAGAGAGTTTCTGTCAAGTCCTCTGGACTTCCTGCCCAGAGCAGCCCCCCGCCCCCCTCCTCTCACCCCCAGTGCCCCCAAACATCCCATACGACACACACACGCTGAGCACCATAGTCCATTGCAGGCGAGGTAAATAGAATGTGCCAGTGTTGTGTGTGTATTCACTTCAAGTGTCCTTTAACTCTCTCTGTGTATTCGCTGTCAACAACCTCTACCTTTAGGCTTTTCATTGACTACTTCTAAAAAACAATTTTATAATCTTGGTTCCATCGCAATTTCCTGCCCATCCTCTTCCTCCTCTCTTTCTCAATATCTCATCACCATGTCAGAACAACTTATCAGAGCAGCTCTCCTGAGAAGGCAGTGTCTCAGTCCTTATTAGATGCCCTGCTCATCACTCCAATCACACAACTTTCACCACTGCGCTTGAGGAAGAAGAAGAAGCGTCGTAGCGTCAGTGAGCTGCAGTTGCCCAAGAACAAGAGGTAGAAAGGGCAGACCTGGACAAAGCTACACTTACTGAATAACTGCTTGAGAAGTGTTGTTTGACATGATTTTAGGTTGAAAAGGATTGAGAGCACAATTTTGTCCAGGTCTGACATCCATGAAAGAGTGAAAATAATCATCTACTTCACAAATAATGTGATATGCCATGTGGAGACTCATTCACTGTGTATATGAATGTCATGTGATGCATGCACACAATTGTAGCATTCATCAACTAATGGTTTGAAAGCACAAGCAAACTAGCAAGCCTGCAAGTTGTAAATTAATATTTTGGAAAGAAAAAAATAAAAATAAGATACCTATTTTTAACACATGGTGTAAACAGCCCTTGAGTCCACTGAACATGCCATTCAAGGCGGTGAAAAAGCCCTGTTTGGTCAGATCATGCCAGCACCAAAAGACATGGTCCATATGTCTCTGTGGAGACAACTCATACCAACTATGACATTCTGTGGTCACTGTGAAACAACTTGGCAGCATCTCACAGAGATCAGTCATTGGCTAGTGGACACAACTGCATTTAAACCGTGAAGTATGAAAGTGTGTGTTAAAGAGAGAGAGTCTGAGTGGGTGTCTCTATGGATGGATGTCATTGTCATTGTGTGTGTGTATGTGTGCGTGCATGTGCACATGCACGGATGGTATAGTGTGGTTGGATTGAATTTGATCCAAAGAATATCACAGTACTGAATTATAGACCATCTGTTGTGTGGTGCAGAGAGCTGCTGGACAGCAGTCAGCTATGTTAATGGACCATTTGTTCAATGTTCAAACGAAACCAACACATTTATGAGATGCATAATACAAGTTCTCGTCGGAGCTACAGTACACACGGGGGTTACTTTACAAATTTAAACAGTTGGGGGACTGAAATTTGCCCTTTTTTTGCTCATTATCGCTCAGTACCAGCAAACAAGAAGTCTCATAATTAGGCGGCATACCGTGCAAAAAATAGACTTCAGATAAGATAAACACTGGGACAAAAACAAAGATGCAGAACAAGGCCACTGACAGAATAGTGATACAGAAGTGTAGATTCCAAGGCTGAATTGTATTAATGTAAAAAAGTGCAAAGTACAGAAACAAAGCAAGGAAGACAAAGACAGATTAAAAGGGAATACATGTATTCCTCTCTCCATCCTTCCTCCCATCCCTCTTTAATTATCCCTTCAGTTAACAAGGTTCATACGTGGCCCAGTACGTCCAGATGGTCAGCACTCTAACTGGCTACTATTGAATCAAAACAGCGGGGTCTCCATTAATCAACCAATCACAGTCCTGCAGAATACAATTAAGTTCTTATGTAATTGGCCTGATTGGTGGAGAATATTAACGAGCTGTGCTGTAATTGGCTCTAATGAATGAAGGGCTGGGGAGCATCTTATTTCCTGCTCTACTTGTCACCTGTTGTTAACCAATTACCATATGGCTAATGTGAATGAATGTTGTTCGCCCAGATAATTTAAATATATGGCGCTATAGCCTTTAATCTCACAGAGTGTAATAGCTTAATGGCATGATGAGGAAGAGGTCTTTCCTGTTCTTTACAGGATCATCTAGCTTTATAAGCTGATATAAGATGATGCTCATGTTTCCGTTTCAATGTAGAGAAAACAGAATTTAATTTGGCTAATTAGCCAGAAAGCGTACTTATGACCGAGAGGGCGGTTCAATATCCAGACCAGCAGGATAAATATGGGTGGGGAAAATGAAATAGTAGTGCTTGGCCCTTCCTCATTACCACCACTGAGGCACCCTGGAGCAAGGCCCTTAACCCAGCAGGTTAGACTGTTGTTCAACTGGGCAGCTTTCAGGTGTGAATGTGTGTAACTGTGAATGTGATCAGAGCGTTCCTGCAAAAGAGAGGCTTCCTCTCAGTCAAACTCCCCTGAATAAATAAAGGTTAAAAAAGCTACTTTCTTACCTTTATGGTTACTTATAACAGTGGTTCAGGATCCCCTAAGGGGTCATAAGACAGATTTGAGGATGTCACGACCTGATTAAAGGTATAAAAAACAAATATATTTCTGTTACACAAAACTATGTCTATTTCTAATGTGTGCTTCTTTGTTTGAAACACTGGACAACATCAAGTCTTCAGCCTAAAACAAATAAAAAATGAATGGTGATCTGATGCTGACCATGTAATCGCAGTGTCCACAGTTAGAGTCTGACCAGGGATCTTTGTTGCATGTAATCCCTTCTGTCTCTTTCTCTCTCTCTCTCTCTCTCTCCCCTCATTTCCTATTACTCTACTGTCCGCCTCCAAAAATCACTCATTGATTTAACTGCTCATAACGAATTTCCACAGTAAAGCCATAAGGGATTGCAAGTAGATAAGGGGTCACAAGCTGAAAACACTAGGAACCAGTTACTAGTAGCATATAACTGTTCAGAATACAGAGGGGGTAAAATTAAAGGATTCACAAAGAGAGCTGAAGAGTCAGCACTGACTTTGAAGTTAATCCCACATGATTAATTATAATAATCAGATTGTTGGTTGTTGGTGTTGTTTGTTTACATTTACATATTGCAGAACTGGAGAAAATGAAAGCACAATAAATATATTACAGAACTAACAGCAGGTGAGGAGGTGCTGTTGGTTTATGCAAAATTGTTCGCAATAGTTAAAATTGAAATGCAGTCGAATGGAAATGGAACTTAAATTGAAGCTACTTGGCACCGTTGGCCTGCTGTCTATGGTCAGTTTTGCCTGCCTATAGATGTAAGAAGTTAGTGTCCACAGTATCCACTGGCTCCTCCTGTCAGACACAGGCTGTAAAATGATAAGCAGATAATGAGAATGAAGAGAGATGTTCTGCAGTCTGAAAGTCTCTTTCCTATAGAGAGTACTTAGATTAGGACTGTATCGGCTACAGGGCTAATTAGCCGGAATCAATGCTAACACAACAGTCCACTGGGTGCATTTATAGCAATCCTTGTCAGATACCTTTTCTAACCGTTTATCCATCCACTTGAGATTCACATTTTCCGAGTGATATATGTATTTGACAGTAACAACTACTAAATGTTAAATGTAAATGTAACCAGGGTGGGAATGCTGTCAGCCATCTAACCAACCAATCTTTGTTACCTTGTATTTATGTTTTAGTTTCTAAGCCTTATTCCTTATTTCTGTGATATTTTTCTTCTGACACCAAAGGGTGTCTTGGCATCAGTCTGCCACAGAAGCGGGAGACCCCCTCTTCTCCTCACCCGTCAATGCTGTCTATTTCTTTAGGTAAATTTAAAGTCTCCAATTTTTCCTTTTCCTTGTGAATTGTATATTTGACCACGTATCACACAACTACGATCCCACAGTAACATAGTTAAGCAGTCATTCAGAAAGGATGAATCAATCATTTTAGAGATCTCCTGGGTGGGAAACGAAGTGAACCCCCTGCTGTGTAAGGATCATTTGATGTCAGATGTCCCAAGTGTTCCAATTAAGTGTGTGTGCAAGAAATATGAGAGGCAGGGAGGGCAGCGGAAACACAGACCATCTACTGAGGTGAAGCCAGCACACACACAAGTGTGACATTCTCCCTCTATCTTTCTCGCTGCCTTCCAGTTCGCCCCTCATAGTCTCTGCCTCTATCTCTCTATCACTTCTTCTCTTCAACTCTTTTCTTTTTCACTCACACAAAACATACAGGCACCACTCAACGTAACTATGACTGCAGTTGCCATAACACTTGTCTCCCATGAGTCCCCTAACGGCCAGGCACAACGGGAAGACAGCAGTGATCCAACTGTTGGCATTGGCTACAGCTATGCATTATGGGTGTAATACGTCTGGGGGAGAGACTGTTGGCCCACCCAAGCTCCTCAGCTGGCGCTGATGAACATGCACATACTTAAAAACACACACACAAACACACACTTGATGTTACTCATAGAGAGGTCATTCATTTTGCATCATTTTAAAACGCAGTGGAGAGTTTGAGGCCCTGGGGCCACATATGACTGGAGATCTATTTGTAAACAGAAAAACTGAAAATGAGTTTCAAAGCCTGACTTTAAACCAAACCTGCAAGAATATTTTGTATTCAGTCAAAATATCTTCATTTCAATTAAGCAAAACAACATTTCTGAAAACATGTAATTTGTTTTTATCTGTTTATTGGCCAGTTTAATAAGTTCAATAAGTTTGATTTATGGATGAATACAACCCTAAATAAGAGAACTAAAATTTGTCTCTGTGGCTCTAGGAAACAAAAATCTCCCAGAAGCATTTTTTCCTGGAGAAGGAAAGAGGGTGTTGCCCCACATAGATCCAACACAAGGTTTCTCCTACTTGGAGCGCAGCGCTGTGAAAATCTGACCCCCTTTGACTCAAGGGAGGGAACATTTGAGAATATGTTGTGCTCAGAACAAAATGTATTGCCTTTGTACTCAAATCAATGGCCATGGATATTACATGTTTACATTTCTTTCACCCTGTGTCACAGCATGTGTCACTGACTGTGAACTGAACGCCTATCATAGCACTATACTAGGCCAAATTGATTTATTTAATGTAGGATACTGAGAAATACCCCTGGTCCTGTGAGGTCATTTTCTCTATTTCGTCACTTAATTTAGTATTCTGGCATCGTTTGATGTGATCACCACTAAATTTTTACTGCAGAGTCTCTTAAAATTACTCAGCCTTTGACCCAAATGTGAAATTTAGTTTTATTTCTTGGGGCGCATGGAAATGGACTGCCAATGTTGCCGCAGGGACCCATTCAGTTTGTCTCTTCAAGACCTCAATTAAGCGTCCAAACCCATGAGACATTTGAAATACAAAGGGCGGTGGCAACAATGTGTACCTGTATGCAGCTGTATATATAGTTGTTGTGGCCCTTAATGTGATTAAACTCCATATTGTACCATCAGATCTTTGTCTCCCCTCTATCATTCGTACTGCTAGTCTGGCATCTGCCTACAGTACATCTGGAATCGGCACCTTTGTTCATTACACCATGCTATATTTCACTCCACTGGAGTCAATTACTCTCTGTTAAGTCATTTAAATTGATATTCTGGCACTGGTTTTGAATGGGTGTGCTGTATTATTAGTGCTATGCAAACCTACTCTTCCCCTATCCGTCATCAGGCTGGTGGCCTGGACTCTGTTCTGCTGTGAAAGTGGCACATGGGCAGCATTTTTGTGCGTACTGTAGTCACAAGTAGGAAGTGCACCGTGAAGTTGCCTACTGTACTGTTTTGGCTGTAGCTAAATGCTGTGTTTTGGTTGGTACCATATTTGTCTTCGCTCTGTCGGCAGGTAGGTGGTCTCTACGTATTTTGACAGGAACTTGAAAAATTAGACTGTTCCAGAGTTTTTTTCTTGTCATTCATGTGTGTTTTTTTCTAGTGGCTTTAAGTACAGTGGAATTTAAAAGATATTTTGCTGTTGATTACATCTTTGTAAATAACGGAGAAACTAACGCACATATTAAGCAGTACATACACAAATCAGAATCAGCCACATTCTGCTGTTGTGTGATCATCACTCTGAATGAGCGAGATGCAAATGTATGTATTTTGCATTTTAAGCTGTGCAAATTGAGTTTATTTTAACATTTAATGTGCAGGGGCAATGGATAGAGGCTGGTTGTTTTAATGTAATGAATTTAATTAAAAAACATATTACTTGATTTACATATCATTTGTGTTTCTGTTTTGTCTCTCCGCGCAGTGAGGAGGGAGAGGAGGCAGAACTCAACAGCCACGAGTCCGCAGTTGTCAAGACTATGATCAAAGGACCTGCTGCAACCCAGGGTAAACACTGTGGGTGTCCTGTCCACTTGTGATAGCAACACATCTTAAATGGTTTTTCATTTACTTTTTCACACGTTCACAATGAGCGCTGGTTATTGCCAGCTGTAATTTTTCCACCCTGTATAAAATATGATTTATGAACCTGGGACCAAGCCACAATTGGCATGTCTCCTATTAACTGACTGAAATAACATATCCACCTTTGTTAACTCGTATTAAAGAATAAAGTATATAGTATATATATAATACATAATACATGGGTTTCAGTGACTAAAATACATTTTTGTTGATCGAGCCAATTGCTGCATGAAATCTGTGGAATAGTACATTACTGTCTCAATCCGCTGCCAAATCCAACAAAAGGATATCTGTATGCCTGTGTGTGAGTAGCTTTTAATGTAGGCATGTTATGGTTTTTTATTTCCTTTTTACTAAATTAACTAGTAAAGCATAATCAAACTAAGGGGCCTGGACTGTTTTCTTAGCATAAGTCACGGCAAGCACAAGCATACCCAAAATGTAGAGTCCCCCAAATAGATTTCTAAAAATAAACTCTCACTGAGGAATTGAACTAAATTTTCGTTTTAGTATGTATTTTGATTGATTAATATATTCACCCCTACAGTTAAAAGGTGTTATTTTTTTCTCATACAAAAATGTTTGGTTCCAAATCCTGGCGTAATGTAAAACTGATTTACTGCTGTTGGATTGAATGTTGTTGCAGCCAGTTAGCAAGGGGAAGGAGGCTTATTTTCCATGGTTGAAGCGTGACATATGTTGTGAAATAGGTCATTGCAGACTTTCTTTTTCTTTTCTCGTCTTTTTCCTCTGTGTAAGCCCATTAAGCAGGCGAGAAGGCCCCGCTCTGCCTGTGGCGCCTCGCTCAGTCACACGTGCAGCAGTTCCACTCTTTTAGAAAGATAATATTTACTGAAGGGACCTGTCGGGAGTTATGAATAAAGTTTTAAAGTCAAGCCACAGAGCAGCAGTATAATACTGTACTCCATCTGCACGCGGCTTATAGATTCTGAGACTGAGTGTCTTTTCTGGGCATTATTCTGTTTATCACGTACGTACCAAAAAACAAATATATATCTGCCTGTTTGTATCAGTTTATTTGTGAATATTTATCTATGAAATAATTAGCTCATGCTTCAACTTGTACCCCATCCAGTCTGTGAGCTCAAGTCGTCTCTCACTCTTCCTCAGTTCTCTCACTGATGTAACTGCCACTCAACAACAATCGTAAATGTAGTCACTTACCCAGGGAACCAGGCTCATGAAAATATACTACTAGCTGTATAGTGCCCTAGCAACAGTAAGACAATGACCCATTCTGAATCCTGACCTGCAGTTAAGGATCCCAGGCCTTCAGCCACTGCCTTGTTGCAAATGCAGATTGTAAAACAAACTGGCGTGGTGTTAAAATTCGAAAACACACACACTCACACTATAATGCTGTTACTCGCATCCTTCACTTTCTTGCTCCCCCTCATTCCTGAAGCAGCTTTACCTTCAACATACAGTCTCATGAAGTGCTGGCATGATTAATGGCAGCTTTACTAAAAGGCTGAAACGTCAAACCGTGTCTGTGTGACCTAAAACTGTCTTTTCCTCACATTTAACTCATTTTTTTGTGGAAGAAAGAATTCATATCTTTGGCATCTTAAAGCTGTGTTTTAGCCTCCATCTAGAACAGTCAAACGCAAGCTTCAATGAGAGCAATAGCGGCTGTAATCAATATTTTTTATGCTTAGAATGTGTCAAATTACAATGTGAAAACAATGTGAAAGGGGTCCTCATAGTGAACCTGCAGAGAGAATTTAGTAGAAAACTATTTTATTGTCATGACTCAAAATTGATTATAATGTTGCTCTGCAACAGCTGAATGTGTAAATAAGCAACTGTTTGCCTATACAAGTTTGCCATATCAACTCAAAAGGGGATGATTTTAGTGTAGTTAGTGTGTTTCTGCTGCCCCCAAGTGGCCAAAAAATCTTCTGTTTTTTAATGCCGATTTAAAGCAGATAAATTCCCTACCAACCCCAAAAATGAATGTAAGCCCAGCCCTGTTCTTAGCCTAAACAGACACACTTGAACATGACATGTTATGGTAAAGCCATGCTCAAAAAGTAGCCGTCGCCTCACCATGCGCACACATACAAAAACACATCTGGACATCAAAGACCGAGCTACATGTTTAGCCAGGTGTCTGGGTTTTAGCTGAGGGAACCTCTTGGTGGTCTATGTGTATGTGTTTGGTCATGTGTATGCAAGCACATATGCCATAGGAATGTGTCAAAGGTGTAGTGAAAGATTCTGCGAAGATTGATGTGGTGAATCCATGGTTGTGACAGCCGTAGTCAGCCAGCTGCATGCACCACCATGACACCTGCTGGGTGTATAGACGAAGAGGGTAGAGGTCAAATAACTTACACACCTGGGAAGAAAACATAGACGCACACATACACGCACATCCTTTGTGATGCCATAAGTGCTCTTTTTTTGTTTCCTTTTACCATCTCTGTTGTCTCTGAACCAGTATAGCCTTTTATCTGTCTTCCATCACCTACAGGTTACAGTCCACAGATTGGGTTGATCACCCCATCTTTCGGTATGAAGGGTAATGGAAGTGCCAGTGTCCCAAGGGGTCCTGTCCCAGCCCGACCTGTACCTCAACCCCACCCTAAAGATGAAGACTCCCTGGTCCAGATGGCAGAGCACATCCCTGCTGGGACTCGTACACCCATGTGTGCCCACTGCAACATGGTTATCAGGTGAGAGACAAATACTGGAGCTAACAGTAAGATAATTTATCAACTTTATTCTTTATTTATTTTTGAACAAGGCAACTCAATTAACAGATAATCCTATACAATGATTATTGTACAAGCATCATTCTTGATAGCAATCTGCATTATGGACATATTATGGATGAATAATCTATGGGTTCTATCTTTAGGAAGGAAGGAGGCTGTCATGACCATTTATAGTTAACGTTGTGAAAGAAACAATGTACATGCATCATATTGTGTCCGTATACTACTTGCGCAGGGATAGTCAAAAAAAGAGGCAATCTCTTCAACTTGGCCGGACTGACATCTATTTGTATTCAAGCAAATGAATTTAGGAAAGTTAAATATGTCCACTTCTCAATTATTCAGTGTCCCAGTAAGACACGAAATAATTAACTTGAAACCATCTTGAGTAAATAATCTGTGTATGAAACGGTAGAACAACAAAGATCTGACTGCAGTGTAGATAAGGGCAGGGGGAATTAAGTTGCAACTGTAGAGTAATGTTTCACTTGTATGCAGACACACTGAATGCACACACACACACACGCACGTAAAGGTTCATAGAACATATTTGTACTAAAATGGTTTAAATGCAGGGTTTGTCCTTCGTTTCCTCCTTGTGTAAGTTCAGTCAGAGTTGCATACAGGGACACATCACTATAGACTCTCTTCCTCCCTCCTGTCCATCTCACTTCTTGTCCCATAGTTGACTGCCCTACCAGAGTGTTATCTCCCAACTTGTGTCACCTTACATTATATGTCACTAAGGATAGGGTAGCTCACATGCTAATGGATGCCAAGCTCAGGCCACTATCAGAATAAGCTCAGATAAGCACAGCTATTGTACGGAGTAAATTAGTCTCTGATGTTTTCCCGCTTCACCTAATCATCAAAGTGGACAGTGCCAAGGTGCTGTCTGAGTGGAAGCAGAGGACCTTTAATGTATTAATTGTTTACGTCCTTAAAGCACAAAAGCCAACAACACAGTTCCAACCTCTTTAATATGAAAATTTCATAATTTTTCACATCGTAAACCTTCTGACTTTTGGACTGTTCATCTTTTTCCACTCCTTTTCATTGGACAAAACCAGTAATTTGATGATGTGGTCACAGTACTCACAGTAGTGTTCATTTTTGCCAATATTTTGTAACTTCAGGTAAAATAAAAAAGTTAATAAAAAAAAAAAAAAAAGTAAAAAAAATTCCAATGTTAATTTCCACTTATCCTTTTGTCTCTGCTTTTTTTCAGAGGGCCATTTTTGGTAGCAATGGGGAAATCATGGCATAAGGAGGAATTTAACTGTGCCCACTGCCGTTCGTCCATGGCAGATACTGGCTTTGTGGAAGAACAGGGATCTGTCTACTGTGAACACTGCTATGAAGAGTTCTTCGCTCCCACATGCAGACGCTGCCAGGCTAAGATACTGGGGGTGAGTTGGTGTGAAGCAAAATGCATCAGTCTGTGTGTGTGTGTGTGTGTGTGTGTGTGTGTGTGTGTATTTGTGTTTGTGTGTGCAGAGTCATGGTGGCATTGCTCTTGTCTTTTTAGTGATAATTTTTGAACAGAATGTACCCTGATCAACATTAAAGAAAAACTTGAGCATTTTCAGCATTGCAAAAGATTATAAGGATGACAACTAATGTTGCATTGCAGTTCAGGAACAGATAAAAGCCTCAGTGTTACCCATTTGTCTAAATATTTTAAGTATTGACTGTACAACTCGCCTTGACATTGTGTGTGGCTGTTGTTTTAAAATTCCCCCAGCTGTTGTTTGGAGACCAAAAGTGATAGTCCTCCTCTGTGGCATTCACTGCAAACCTGTAACACATACCACGTCTGACTTTTGTATTTATCGTTTTTATGTTTTTTCTATTCTTTTTCTATAATGTAACTCCATTTTCTAGTTATTAACATTTTGCCACACGTTGGTTCTCAACGAGTGACTGCCTTACAGCAACTAGATTAACCACGTGTCAGAGTAATTCTTAGTCTTCACTGCTCTGTACTTTTCCACTTCGGGCCAGCTGTAGGTTGAGGGTTTGAAGTGGAACTTTGTATGCATACGGGGGTTTGGTAGCCAACATTGTATGAGCAGGATAACACAAAGCAGGTCCCAAATGTGAGATAATTTACTAATTTAAATATTAAAGCTACAAAAAAGCTTCATGATTGTAATTAAAAAAAAATCCTACTTCTCAATGAGAGTTAAAATAGAGGTTGACGCAACATTTATCATTCAGCGGAAATATGTGTGCATACAAGACTTCATTACTACGGGATCTGTTTCTCTTCATACCTTCATACCTTGGCTTATACAGTACGGCATTGTGGATAAGATCGCTTTTAGATTCTAATAGCTGTCAAGCCTGGATAAATGTCAGAGTAAACACAGATTATCTTTGCCTCTCTCCATTCTTGCACTACTGCTTTATTATCTGGATTGTAATTGTTTGTAAAGTGATACTGTTTTCAATTTGAGACCAAATAATAAATGGGCACTTTTGAAAAAGTTCCTGTATTTTAATCCCACTGTAGCTCCAACCCCAAACATGCAGGGTAAATGCAAAGAGGGCCAAGCTGTAGATTTAGAGATTTTCTATAATGACCACCACTGAAACTCAGGAATGCAGTATATGTTCGGGTGTTAGGAGAATTAGTCTTAGAGGCCTAGAGGCTGCAGGTGTAGCATTAACCCAGGGTGTCAGGAAGCTGAGATCTTTGCTCTCACAACAGCTCTGACATTCATCCCTCACGTGTTCTAACCTCTTTAGCCTCAATCCCTTTCAACCCTCTATTTCTCACACATCTTCAACCAGCTTACGGCTTCTTATTAACCTGTTTTCTCACTCCCTCTCCTCTAATCCTTCATTTTACTTTGGCCCACCAACTTTCCATTGATTCCTCGTCCTGTCGTGTTCTCACAGTTTAAGGGTGGGAAAGAAAGCAGTTTGTCTATCTTAAGCTGGGTCATGTGGCCCCACAAGAAAAAAGACCCCATAATATTTAAATGTGACATGAGAAAAGGACGGACTGTAGCAAAGGCTACATTCCTGACACATGTGAAACAGTTACATTTATGTAGGAATTGATTTTTTATTGATGAACTACATAAACAACAGGGTTACAATCGCTTCACTTCACTACACTGTATGCACTTTCCAGCTACTGTGACTGACACACACAGTGACCTGTGCTGCTAATGAACTGTGTGATGCCTCCAACTAACCACATTGTTTGCATCTGCGCCTAGGAGGTGATAAATGCCCTCAAACAGACGTGGCATGTCTACTGCTTTCTGTGCGCTTGCTGTCAGCAGCCAATCAGAAACAACACGTTCCACCTGGAGGATGGAGAACCATACTGTGAACGAGGTGAGTGATGATGACGCCGAACAATCTGCTCATTGGACACACTGACCGTGCTGATAGGGCTGATGAATGATGTCTCAGACTAGACACAACAGTCAGTGGATGGATAGACACAAGCAGCTCTCTGTTATCAATTAACTTCTATTCTAACAGTAAAAAAAAAATTAATGTACGTCATGTTGCTTTGTCTGTGAAAGACTTCTACAGTTTGTTTGGGACTGGTTGTCACGGCTGTGAGTTCCCCGTCGAGGCTGGAGACAAGTTCCTGGAGGCCCTTGGTTACGTCTGGCATGACACCTGCTTTGTCTGCGCTGTAAGTGAAGGCTTCACAGTACATTCACAGTATAATCAATTGAGAGACTCCTGTCCATCTGACCAGCATGTCTTTGAACTGGGAGGGAAAAACAGTATTGGGGTCGTTACTCAAAAGAAATAATGTATCACACATTAGTAAAACTGCATTTAACCAGTCAAACACAATCAAACAACTCGAGTCGCTCTGTCACCAAACTATGGCTTTATTGTGGACTATTCCAGGCTATTTGACATGTTTATCACTAAAGCTGTGGTTAGTCCTCATGAGCAGGAGACAACTTGTTCTCCTTGGAGTCAGCACAAGACTGCTCACAAGACCGAAGAGCCTCTCCACGGGCGCACTAGACATGTGTTGAATTTCATGGATATTGTAGGGGAACGGTTCTGGATCTCCATCTCTGACCCCGACTTCAGATATCAGTGAAATCAGTGTCGTAGCTGAAGGAAGTTGTATTATCCTCGTCTTCATAGTTTTTGTATAATGCTGTGTGTTACCCTATTACACTTTTCTCTTTATTTCTAAGGATGAATATTATATATTGTATTATATATATATATCAATATAATATATATTATATTATATTGATATATTTATACCAATGAGGACTTTTGCCATTTCATAGAAAACTTTATGTAATTTATATACCTTACGTGACCTTGACCTCTGTGTTTGTGTGTGTGTATCTTTTTGTTTTTCCTTAGGTGTGCTGCACCACTCTGGAAGGCCAGACTTTCTTCTCCAAGAAAGACAAACCTCTTTGCAAGAAACACGCTCACACACTGAAGATATGAATCTTGGACTTTCCTCACAATCTTTATTGCCATACATGTTTTCTTGGTTTGTGGGGTGGGAATGCCTCTTAATAGTAGTCAGTTCATACAACAATAAAACTCAAGCAATACTCGCACAACCATAGTGGTGGCTCTTGCAGGTCAGGATAAGGGAAACACTGCCATGTATGTAAAAGTGAACTTATTTTTGTCCCAGACCTATTGTAAGACAGAACATTATTTTGTCATGTGGTTTCTACTATAAACAGCAAGTAGTAGTAAAACAACTTGTAGTAAAAGATCACTGTTTTCAGTTTTTAACTATTTTTCACCAAAAAATAATCTGAAAGAAGCATTTTCATCTGGATTTTATTTGCTCGCAGTGTATGTGCAATGGTGCAGTGTACTAGCACTAGGAATCACCAAAGTCAGACATTTAATAATACATAGGATTGTGTGATCCCATTATTTCTTAATCCAGAGTTTAAGCTTGAGTTTTTCAGAAGCATGACAGTGGTGAAATCATCACGTTTACCTTTGTGGGTTAGGGTTAGGGTTAGGGTAGTACCTAAACCTGTTTTTATTTTATTTTCAGACAGTACCAAAAAATTATATTCATACTATATAATTAAGAGGAGGGTATCGGACATTTTCTAAGCAGGAGTTTGTTTTTGTTAGTGTTCATGTTTGTGTAGCTCGAATTGAATTTAACAATTTGATCATCAGCTATTATTGTAAGTTAAAGAGAATATTAACCATCAAATTTCCTGCATTAAACTTTGTTGTATTTTGTTGTGTTCTTTGCTGTACATATATAGCAAAACCATATTACAGACAAATTAAAATACAGAAATTCTGCATCGTGTACAAGTTGTTTTAATACAGGTGGGCTGGATGTCTGCAGGGACAGTGAATGCTGTTGCCTTTGACCAGTGCTTAAAATTATTTGAACTTTTTCTGTATGTTTTAAATAAAATCTGTGTATTTTATTTTCTATTTGTCATGTGGAACTGATAACATTGGCAATAATGTTACTGGTTTCAAAACAAATGGTCACATTTTAGTTATGTTAATTTGAAACGACTTTTGAGAAAGAGGAGTGGTCTGTTTTTGGAGGACTGATTTGGCCCTAAATATAAATAAACATACTAAATAATTAAATGTATAACAAAATATTATGTATATTTATGTATTTCTCATTACTTTGATAGCCTGACATATCTTGACAATTGCATAGAATTGACAAAATGTTGTCTATGCTGAGTGCCATATAGTTTCACTAATCATATTCATATTCGTATTTACTTGACTTACTATATATATTTATTTTGTAATAACTGCATTAATTTACGGTTGATTCAGTCCTCCATAGGTTTTATAAAAGTCAGTAGCTCTTTGTGGTCTGGCCTGCAGGAGGTCAAAAGTGGATACTATAATCCTTTTGTAGCAAACTGTATATTTTAATTTGTTTATAGAAGGGAGAAGTATCTTATCTGACAATATGTATTTAACTGTTTGGGTAACTGGGTTTTTGCTTTTCAGGGACTGGTGCAGGGAATGGATGGGGGTGTAGTTTTTTTCTGTGTTTTTAGTATCTCACTTGACTGTCCACTAACCGTCCCAACATGTTGATTTGGTGATATTTACTTTTCATTATGGCTGAGGGGTACATATAGTCTACTTTGTTTTGTTTTCCATAGCAACAAAACAAAAGCACTCATATTCATTTTCACATAATTATCATAAAAGAGAGCTGTGTTTTTAATGTTTGGGGCAAAAGGGGGTGAGTATGGTGTACAATGGTAAGAAAAATGCTTAATTCTCACCTACAAAAGTTGGAACTGTTAAAACTGATCTAATAAATGATGTGCTTTTAAACCCCCAAGAAAAATATCCTGTGTTCCTTTATATTTGCTTTCTTTTCTGTCAGTGTAATACTATCTTACCATCCTAAACTTCCTGTATTATTGCTTGAGAAACAACGTGGATGTACAGACAAGTCTAACATATAAACAGTGTGAAATGCAGATTTCAATGCATGTCTCCACCATGCTGAGAAAGGTCAAATGAGAGACAGAAACAGAGAGGAGAGGTGGATACTGTGAGAGAAGAGAACATGGTAGAATGAGGATGTGATTGACGCCATGGCTGCATAAATCTGTGTGAACCATAAAGCAGCTATTACACAACAGTGGTTGCTTGCACGAACAAAAATTACTTTACCCACAGAGGAAAGGACAAGTGTACTATAAATGAAGAAAGCACTGTGCTTTTGACATTTCTATTGTAGACAAAATTAGCAAACCAAACGCTCACATAGTCCCGCCCACCACACACACCAGTATCAACCCCTACACATTTATGGGGATTTGTCCAATTTTGTAAATGCAGCAGGAAATGTTGCCAGATCTTATGAAACCTTCTAGCTGATCCAAGAGTAGAAGGCTTTAGCTGTTTGAGTTTGAGGTGTGACATGACATCCTCCAGCCAGTGTTTATGAGATGGTGCTACAGTTGAGGGGAATCAGCTGTGAAGTGAGCACTTTAATAGACAAAAATAATATTATGTGTAGTAGTTTATTTCATGTTCTATAGCCTATTTAGCATAATAGTACACAATAGTTTAGATATCCAATTCGAAATTGGTAATGCTAATTGCTTACTTAAAGGTGTGGTATTTAGGAGGCTCGAATGTAAAAGGTATTTTTTAAGTGTGTAAAAAAAATAAAAAAAATCCTACACACTGGTCCTTTAAGAATGTATCATGGAATTAACATTCTTTTGATGTTACTTTTATGTAACACTCATTGTTAAGTCTACTTTCTCATAAAAATAGAGTGGAAAGTAAGGGAACATTTTTGAGCAGTAACCTATTTTCAAAATTACTTAGTGGTGGAAAAATCCACTCAAGAAATGTCATTGTCATTAACAATAACTTCTAAACAGCAGAGGTTTGACTTCCAGGTTACTAGTTTATTATTTTAAATTATTATTAGGGAAGAATTTTTAGGTTTTTATTATTTATTAGACGCCGAGTAGAAGAGTGGCTTTTGGAATCCATTCAGAGCAATCAATCACTTTCCTCCAGCTAATGCACTCCTCTCTGCGCGGCATTAATCACCCCTCATACAGCTGAGTGAACTGTAGAGGAGCACAGAGGTTTTCATGTGTGAGACCAATGTGTGACCCTGCGTGTGTGTGTGTAAGGAGAGAGAGAGAGAGAGAGAGAGAGCGAGCGAGAGGCTACAACCCACAACCCTAGTGTGGTAACAGCCCGAACTCGCATCTGTACCCGGAGTACCGGAGTGCTACAACTTTTTTGTCTCCATCGAAACAAGAAAACAAGAGAGTATCCGGAGGTGAGTGAACTTGGCGTGGATGTCACTAACACACAGTATGTGCGCGGTGTTCCGTCTGCAGTGTCTGTGTTTATATGCCACTGTTCGCAGTCACCTTGAGAAGGTTTGACAGTCGTTGCTCTTTTTGTTTGCTACGTGTTGACAGTGTGCTGCACGTGCGATTGGTTTGTTTATTGGAGATTGCGCGAGACTTGGCGCATTGCGTATTTCGGCGCTTGAGAGAGAAAAGTTTACAGGAGTTTGAAGTACAGTCGCTTACTGTACGTAACTACAATTTTGAGGTACTTATTTACAATTCATGCTACTTAATTCTCCTCCACGACATTTTAAGAGGGAAATAATGTAGGCTACTTTTTACACTGTTCAAGTTACTTTGATTTTACATTCAAAAAATGTTTGACGTGGGTGCACAGATTAATATATTGTGTGAATGTGCGCATAAGATAAAACTTTGTATCATCTCCCGGGACCTTGAAGGCTCCACAATTCTCCCTGAAAGAGGCTGTTGCACAATAATTAGGCTTTTACTTTGAAGTATGTTTTGCTGGTAGTAGTATGCATGTTTACGTTATTCTCAGTGCTGCCACATGTTTGCTTTTAAGTGTTAAGCTTCCAAAGAAGAAAAAGTACAGCAAATTACTATATGCAGGCCTTTTTTCAAACAGTCTTAGCCCACTCATTTTGTCTTAACAATCACAAAAGTATACTAATAATATATTGGAATACATTGATTATTCTAACATCACATCATTTGTGAGCCTAGGGCTGTGTAGATGTATTAAAATTTGAACGTTTATGCAAACGTATGCATTTAAAAAAAATGTCCCAAACACATTACTCTTAATAAGATTTGTTTTTATTTAGTGCTAAATGTGTGGGGGCCAAGATGTCTAATTGTCTTTGTGTGAATGAGGGTGAACGTCTTTGGTGTGCCAGAAAATAGCAGCCTCTTGCCCATATTTATATGTGTATGGTAATAATAATATTTATATTAATACGAGCTATGTTCACAAAGATACCTGCATGGCAGCAGTGACTGCAGACAAAACGAAACCCATCAACACTGATAAAGCTTTTTAAAACTACACCCACATAGTGATCACTAGTTTAACATTGAAAGTTGATATTACAATGGGTGACAACATGTTTTACTCAGTTACCCATCTAAAAAAAAGTTGGGAACCCTCTTTGTCTGGATTATTTGTACTTGGGTGAAGGGGGCTACATAGTAGCCATGACCTAGCTTTAATTTTTAAGACTTTGTGAAGTGAGCCCCCTTCTTCAAGGGCTCAGAAAGCAAAGAAAGCAAAAAAAAAGAAAGAAAAACAGAAAAAGAACCTCAACACAGCCTCCAGCGCTGAATAACCTAAAGCCCAGTATTCCCCATACACCCCACTTATACACACACACACACAGGTATGCACACAGTATTCAACTCTCCCTCTGAGTCCAGTAACCAGGTCCAGGTGTTTGTCAGTGTGGGTTATGACAAGAGTATATCTGTACGTGTGCACATGAGCATGCATGTGTAAATGTATATCCAGATGGCATAATACTGTGGCTCCAATTCTTACCTCACCTCATCTGAGTGGTCCGGGGGCAGCAACACCAGGGACCCACGCAGGAAAACACGAGAGAAGCAGAGGTCCAGATGTATGTGTTGTTTGGTTGTTGTCGGTCGTGTTGTGGTGTAGCATGCTTTGCTTGTTTGTCAATCTACTAAGTGTATGCAGTTGTTGGGGCTTCACTGGGAACAGCAATCTTATTTAGGTCAGGAACACATCACGCAAATCTGAGCAACAGCCACATTCTCAATTGGCTGTGTAATTGAGTTTCACATAGCAGCTGTAAACAGAAAACTTCCCCTGTTTTCTTTTCTTGTCATGCGTGTGTGTGAGAGAGAAGAGAGAAGTGTGGTGTAACAGTTTCAGGGAAAGAAACGCAATTAGACACTTAACAGTTTCAGACATCTCGTGATGCAAGACAAGGTGTCTGATACTGACGGCTGGAAATTCCGATCACATTGCTGGAGCTTAATCTGCGTGCCAAGAGTAGCAAATTTGCCAAATACAAACTCAATTTCTGTCTGTCTGGAGACATGATGAGTGGAGCACAAAGAGGAAAAGACTGACAGAGAAATATAGTCAAAGGGGCACATTTACATGCACAGTGGCAGCGTGGAACAATATTCAGTCTATGTCAAATGTCATGTAACGTCTGACTGATGTATTCAGAGTGAGGTCAAGGTCAGAATGAGAAAAAAAGTAGTTGACGCAGAAAATCTGATACCTGAACTCTGCGTATTGACCGATATCGATCTGATACAAGTACGTTAAGAAAATATAATATATTAACAGTTGTACACTAATAACCCTGTATGGTTGCTATAATTGTTGTATGGCCTGGCTCAGGTTAAACTCTTTGTGAAACACGGACAAATAGAACTTTCTTTTATCATTACCCAAAAAGCTCTTCTCTCTTCTTCTCCGCTCTGAAACAGTAGTTGCCAGTACCCAGCGGCAGCACGGTGCATACGATCGGTGACCGGTGACATTGGTTGGGGTTCGGGTAAAAATATCAGGGTTAGCCAATCAGAGTCAGAGTGGGGCAGGTCATGACTTCGCCATCCTGAGGAGGAAAAAAAAAGGTGAACGAGATGCTGCTGGGAAGTACCAGCGTCCCGTTTCAGGGCTAATGAATTACACGATATCAGATCGGTGCAAAGACTTGCGTACACACGGATACCTGATCCAGCATTTTAGGCAGTATCTCACGCATGTCTGACACCGGTCTCGGTATCAGAACAACCCTACTCGTGAAATGAACTTTTCGGAAAGAAGTTTTCGGTTCAGTTCATTAGATTTTTTTTTCCATCTGATGCTGTGATGGCTGTTTGCCGGAGCCCACTCCTTCTCATGCTTCTACACATAGGAGGGACCTTTGCTTTAAACGTAAAGGCCTTAAGCACTTGAGGCCATTTACAGTCACTACATTATTTCTGCACAGGTCAATGTAAAGACATGTATTAAACAACAATAAGAAAGACATCAGGGATAAGATTATAAGGAGAATTGGAAAAATTGTTCATGTGAACCTGAGGACAGTTTGCCAGTGTTGTGCTTCTCTAATATCCAATTTCCTCAGCTTAGAGATCAGGTTGATAACAGTCAAAAAGAGATAAGAGCCATGAGCCTGAGGCTGTCTTTTCATTGATCTAACGCTCTTTCTTAATTACAGTGTCAATGTGATTTATAGAAACATTCCAGGATTTATCTTTACCTGAATTCTGAAACTTCAAGTGTTTTAGAAAGGTCTCCACAGGCCTTTAAAAGTCTTAAAAGCTTCAAGAGTTGGGACAATAAAATGCTTTGAAGGTTTTTCAAAATGAACACTGAATGCAGTATTGTGTGAAATGAGACTGCATCACATTTGTCAGCATGCCTTAAATCTCTGGCTCTGTCCTCTTGAAGAAATGGATTAGGAAAAGGTATTGCTTACCTTGTGTGTTGCAGGTTTGAGT